GGTCATTAGCTATTGGAGTATCAAAAAGCGGTAAGATGGGAGTGGGAGGGCGTGAAGGAGCTTGTGGTAGTGTCAATACCGAGGCAACATTGTGAGTGTGCACGAAATCCGACATACCATTAGCGGAATCGTTAGCAAGATCATGTGTATCAAGACGTGAAGGGTTGGATTGGGCATTACTGCGCGATCGTTTGGTAGGCGGCGGTTGTAGAGGCGATTCATCTGGGTTGACGTAAAGGCGACGTTCGAGAGCACAGCCAGTAAGAATACAACAAGAAATGCACGCTAAAAGAGATAGCCAACGTACCAGACTGATCTGAAGGTCGTTTTTGGTGAGTAACGGCCGTTGAGGAGCTTCGAGGGAGTTCAGATTGTTGGGTCGTGGAGGGCAGAGCCTGCTCGCGACGAGACACTGGTTGCGGATATAATGACTCAGTTACCGACGCGCGCCAGTTCTTTAAAACGCACTCACAGATATTATTAGCAGGTTTAGAGCTGGAGCGAGGGGCAGCAGGCATAAAGGAGGACGTGGATTGAGAAAGTGAAACAGAATCAAGTGAAGGGGGGATTTTTTTTCGACGAGGGACAGAAAAAGTGGATCGAGCGCGATGGAACCAGTCCCAGAGCGTCTAGGCGCGTCCTACGACCGTCGATCGCGTGTTTATGATGCAGAACGTTTCGTGCTCGACAAGGGAGGGGAATCAATGCAGACTCGTTTTGAGCGTGGGAACTGGCCGCTGTTCGTTCGTTGACCTGATCATGGTTCAACGAGAATGGCTCGCCTCCAGGGGACCTCCATTGCATGAGCGACTGACTGCATGGCGTATTGGAGGTAGCTCTATCATCCGCTGAGATTGCTCAGGAGGCGAGGCTGGGATAATATGGAATGAGAGCGGTTTGTCGGGCTGTCCACAGTAGGCGACGCTCAGGTTCGCCCAAAGCATTCTGCAGAGAAAGGGAAAAAGAGTTTTCGAATAGAATGTGAGGAAGGGGGAGGGGAGGGAGGTAGAGAGGACGCTCTGGAAGACGACGAGGAGTGGGCGAATCATGATGCAGTATAATTGATGTGGCTGGGGCTGTCATCCGCAATGCATCGCAGTACCATATCCGGATGTGCAGCGTCGAATTTTTTGTAGACCTATTCTCTTGCGTTTGACCACCATCACCACCATGAGTTGAGACCCGGTGGGGTAGTTCAGCTCCTGCCACTGAGAGTCTGAATGTGAAGTAAGCCTATGAGAGATCAACGAACGGCACGGATCTGCATTCAAAGCGAACGGACCTCTATTGCGCCAACGCGTCCGAGGAAGGCATTAAGAGCTCTGTAGTCCTCGTATAGCTGGGACGAGTCTATTTCTATATCTGTGAAGCTATCATGAGGAGTGGTCATGGTGGCGAAACTCGGCGAACACTCACTATGAGGAATTCACTCGTACGTCAAGTTCTGAGAGCTATGGGTCATCTGGGAGCGGGTACCTTCCACTAGGTCTGATACCAGGAAATTGTTCGAGTCTTGAAGCTTTGGTATACAAGAAAGTGAGGATCACAACTTACCCGGTAAGAACCCATTACGCCAGCGATGATGGACCCACGAGGGGTTCTGCTTCAGCTACCAACTACAGTTGTACCTATGAGTTGAGAGTGGTAGTGCTCGCTTTCAGTGCATGTCTGTATGATAGTCTTGGAACAACTCTACCTTGGGAGACTGCTTCGGGCTGCCCCCTTGTCGACGACCCATTTCCACTAGCGACTCCACTGGCTGATGGGGGACGGTCGTCGGTCCTTTTATGGTTTATCAGAGCCCCAGGACTGGTCAGTTTCAGCTTGGCTCCATCGCTCAGACTGTGGTCGGGTGCTTGCGTTGGAAATCGTGGCGCGTCCCAAGACCAACTTGTCAATATCAGTGAAGTCTTGGGCAAATAAATGAATTAAAATTCTTATATTCACCTTGGACACTACGAGGCACGATTCGACATGAGGTCTTGGTGTGGTTGGGTAGGTGGAAGAGGTGTGTTGGGTGAAAATTGTCGAGGTAATCAAGGGGGTAGAGAGAGCGCGATGAAGTCGAGCAAGTTGAGGAAGAGATGATACGTTACGGCTCAGGCGAGTCTCTGGTGTCGTCGTGGTGATAGAGGCGGGCCATCGAGTTTGTCTGAGGGCGTCATCGCCGGCGAGAGTAATGTTTGGTGGTGTTGCGTTCGCGATCCCGAGTCAATCTCCTGACGACCTCGATCTCTCGCCGACAACTTTTTTTTTTTTAAGTTTCTCCTTTGCTGTAATAACGATACGATGCTCTCCGCTGAATCGATTTGTTTTGGTGAAATGCTAAGGGAAGCGTGCCTCGCGTATGATGGGATGTAATGGGACTCGTGCACGCTGTTATCCCGAGACAACGAAAAGCTGAATGATAATTATTGAATCTGAGCGGTAACATCTTAAAATGCTATAGAATGATTCGACGAAGATGGCCATATTAATCTCCTAGGGCAACCGCTTCTTAGCAGAGAAAGTGACTGCTTTCCTGCGATCTCTCTCTATTGTCTCCTGTAACGTGTAGCATTGATTTCTTGGGGCTAGTATGCAAGTCAATATCTATCTATCAACTATCTAACAATAAATCATTTGTATTCAATCTGCTGAGCTCTGATGGCTGTACTCCCCTTGACATGCCCCCTACCCCCACCTTGGTCACGGGTCATATCATCCAAGACGGAAGTATCTAAATGACAATCAAACTTATTACAATGAATATAGAAGCTATTTGCTGTCAGTACGACCGAGTCATTCAGTTGAAATGCGAGGAATCGTTGGGTGAGTACTCCACATCTCGTACCCATCCTCGCCCTCCTCCCCCAATCTTCCACACTCGAAAGCAGATACTCTCAGTCAAAGGAGCGTCTCTTATGGTTAAATAGGTTGTCAATTTATCTTATGGAGAGGTAATTTGGAGTAGAAGCCCGTAAAAAATGAGAAAAAATCGCAAAAATTTCGTTTTTAGCACGCAATGGTCCGTGCAAAGCGTGCAGAGACATAGGGGATCCCCTGGCGCAATTGGCTAGCGCGTCTGATTCCAAAAAAGGAAATTATCAGGAGGCTGTGTGTTCAAGTCACACGGGGGTCAGCTTTTTGGGCGGGAGGGAACTTTTGGACGCGGTGTGCGCGAGTTTCGTG